AGGCAGAGAGAATTATCCATAGAGCATGAGTGGAACCCCAGAACATTCAGAGACAAATCTGCCTAAGTACAAAGCGATTATCTTTCAACCAAGTACTATGATCATCATAGTACTATGATCATCATTTCATCAATAACAGTAACTCACTAGCAGTTTGAGGAGGTGGACATGCGGTTAGGCATGTGTGAGAATGTATAAGATTCCAGGACATGGGTAGTACAGTTGTGACAACCTATCATAACACCCACATACCCCTGACATTGGCCATACTGGGAATTTTCAAGCTAGTATGGAAGCTGAGAGGAAGTTTAGCTGCATAAATTTCAAAACAGAATCACCTAAATTCATCATCACTAACAAATGAAGAGTTCTATTTTATTTCTGATGATGTTATTACTAATACTGGTCATTTTACTTGTTTCCTAGTTAAGAAAGTTAAAAAAACAAACAAACATTTAAAAAGCCCTCAGGAACTTTGTGTATTTTACTCATGCAGAGAAAAGAGGAAATTCAGTAGAATTTATACCCATTTTCTTACACTATAAACTTTAAACTTGTTCCCATAGCAATTAAATATTACTAATTTGGTCCTAACCATTCTTTCAGCACCAGTTCCCAACCAGTTCCACAACGGCTACCTCAGGCACTTTGAATACTACAGGCAACATCCCATACCTTTCTGTACTTTCCTGCCTCAGTACATTTGCACTTCATGTTGTGCATTATGGTGCGCTATTTCTCCGCTTCATGGAACAAAGTACAATGTTATCTGCAGAGTGAAGCTGGACTCCCACAAGTAGTTAATGGCTGGCAACTCTGAGCTCCCCTAAAATGTTCATCTCCCTATTCCTTGGGGGTGGGACTCTGCCTTATTCATAGAAGGCCCTTAATATCTTGTCCCTTACCTGGCTAAATAATGTTTGAATATTTGAATAACCCTGTTCCACTCACCAGAAGGCTAGATGAGGATTCTTGGTACAAGAACAGGGGTAGAAATGGATCAGAGTTTGGAGCTAGAAATCTCAATCCAACAAGAGAAAAGGAAAACTGAAAACAAAAGAAAAATATGGCGCCAGACTTTTTAAAAATGTGCATTTATGTCTTAAGCAAGTGCCGATAGATTCCTAGACTCAGTTTTGTTATTTGATGGGTTGTCTCTCCCTGTTCACTGAAGAGCAATGATCAATTATGATTGCTCTAATGTCATTCATCCTGGTTTTAATACACTTCAAAGAAGCCCATTTTAACAAAACAGAAAACCTACCTTCAGTCATCTCCCATAAAATGATTTCCAGTAAATTAAATAATGAACTTCCCTCAAACGTCACACACTCTGTCAAAAGGATTCATAAACGTAAAACAAACCTAACAGCATAGTAGTTTAAATATACTACCTGAAAGAGTAACGATTCCCCTGGGTTGAGGCTGAAACCGCAAATATTTGTTACAAAAGTCGGCCGATTCAAGGGCCAAAAACAAAACATTGCCCAAAAAGTAGCCTGCTGTTTGGCCCACCGAATTGCAGGTAGAAGCATAACCCACGTTTTCCCGTGATAACATAGTTAACGCCCAACCATCCACAGCGATGTCCTGAGTGGCAGCCAGGAATTCAAACAAAAAGAATGTCATAGTGAGAGCAACCACATCAGGTGTTCTGCCATCGGTATTCCCGAGCAAAAGGTCCACTTGAGTGGATAAATATATCATGAAGAGTCCTAGTATATACTGTGTAGGGACAAGCCAAGATTTGCGACGACCAAAGTTCTTAAAGTAAACCGCATCAACCAACGGGGCCCAGAGCAATTTCAGACTAAAGGGCCAAAAGACAAAACTGAAGAAAGCTTGGTCTGTATAGCTAACATTTTTGCTTTGCAAAATGAATGGGATGCTTCCCGCCAAGCCCAAGGGAATGCCCTGAAGCACGTAAAGAAAGAGCAGTAGCAAAATACTGCTTAGTTCGGCTCGGAAGCTCCGTGGGGTTTTTGAGAAGTCACCAGTGCCGGTATCCCTCAGAAGAGCTTCTCTGTCCCCTTCCCCGCCCACAAAGTCCGGATGAGTGTCATCCCAGCTGCCCGGCGGCAAAGGACCGCTCTTCAAATCCAGAGAGTGGTTGAAAGTCCCTGGCCGCCGTTGCCGACTGTTGTCCTTATGGGAGACGGTGGGTGACATATCAGAGACAATGCAGAGCCCCGTCTGTGGGGGACCGGGGCTGAGCGTTTTGGCTTCCTCTAGTCCCAGGTCCAAGGCTGTCGCTCTGGACCAGGGTTTCGGTGGCTCAGGGAGGGAGGCAAGAAGGGCGATAAGGGCACTTCTTACTGCAGCCCAAAGTGCTGAAGCCTGGAGCCAGTCCTCTGGCTGGAGGCCCAGGCGATGCCTCGGTAGGTGCCCCTTGTAGCGGCGACAAGGAGCCTGCAGGAGCCCCCCGGGCAGCCGCGCTGGGCTCGAAGCTGGAGGAGGGGGCCGTGGTGCTGCGGTGGAAATCAGCTCCTTGAGAGACCGACCGGCCCACCTCCTCAACCACCTCCAGCTCTTGCCGCCACCAATGCGGCAGAGAGCACTTTCTTCACAGGACTCCAGAAGTACCGAATAACTTCCTGCCCCGCGCTTCAGGAAGTGGTCCCAGTCTCAAATAGATCCCTTCCCCGCCTCCATAGAAAGCCAATCAGGACAGGCTCCCGAGGCGGAGTTCGGAAACAACGCTTGCTGGGAACCTGCAATTCTGGCCGCCGGGGCCTTCGGGGAGGCTTAATAGCGGCGCACCGTGCGGCCGGGGCGGAGCGCTCCGCGAACTCTGGCTCTGTGAGCGCATGCGGCCGTCTGGAAAGCGTGGGCCTCTGTCATTGGGCGCGAGTGGCCACGTGACGGCGGGCGGTGCCAGGCTTGCGCAGGCGGTCGAGACTATTCAGTGCGGCTTGGGAAGCCCCAGTGGTTAGATTTTGGTGGTTGTGCTAGTGAAGAGCAAAGCGCATGCTCTAGACTAGGAATTGTGTGATCCTGGTGCTTTCGTGCGCCGGGCATAAACGGGAAGGATTGAGATTTACGACGTTTTTGTATCTTGGAGGCAAGGGCAAGGTCGCTTTGTGCTCCCTAAAATTAAGGCTGTTGAGGCATAATTTGATAAGGGTTTACTGAAAACCAGATGTAGTGATCAACAGAGTTGGGCTTGTTCCGGAGTCTGTCACAGGTGAAAGGTTTTAATAGGAAAGTTTAGAAGAAGGATGGGGATATCCTTATGTCAGAGTTGCCCTCTTTTCATTGGTGGGTATAAGACTGAAGTTACAATCATTGATTACAGATTACATCATCCACTTTAATGACGTATTTGTGCAATACAGTCTGTAGAACTTCGTGCAATCTTAAATTCATCATATTTAATATCTTCAGGTTGTACATTGATCAGTACATCAACAGTTTGAGGAACTTAAGATTCTTTACTTAGAGACAGAATGTTACCATCTGGTAACAAAATCTCCCCCAAGGCAGATAAATCTGGAAGCGTACTTAATGTCAAATGTGACCCGAGGGTTAAGAAAGGGTAGAAAAAGGCCTGGCTAACTGGAGAAGTGCGTACTTTATAGTGCCTACATATTTATGGAGGAATGAAATTGCTCAAGAGGTGATAAGTTTCTCTGCAGTCCTTTTTTTGAATGTGGTGGAAGAAGCTAGGGGAACTTGGTAACCAACTCTAGTTACATTGGCTGGTTGGATAAATTCTAAGACTCATTACATCTCTCTAGTTTTGTGCTTACTATAAAAGGTCTTGTGAGCCACCTCTCAGCTGTCATCATCGTTGATGCATTTTAAGTGGCTCTCCTTTCTTAGGGTTCTTGGCAAAGTATTGCAAATTCTTGGAGCTGGAAATGCTGAGAAATCAGATACAATATTAAAGTGCTGCCCAAGAGACAGGATTTCCAAGAATTTTACTGAATCTGAGATTGTGTAGTAGTTTTCAAACATCACGGCTAACATGTTATAGCAGTAATGTTAACCTATTTTTCCTCCATTTTAAAAAATGCTTTAAAATTTGCCTTAATGATTGTTATTCTATAGGGTGCTCTTACATTTATACTTCCTTCTACAGCTGATTACTCATTTCCTCCACAGGAATTTGAGTCTGATTAATTTTTTTGAATAGAAAATGGCAACTGTAAAGTCCTCTAACTTTTGTTAAAGAGCATAGCTTACAGGAAATAACAGTGTCATTTAAATAAGACCAATCAGGATGCAACCAAAAGACCCATGAGTGTCGGTTAACTTGTTCTGGATTCAAACCCTGCTCTACCAGCAGTTGTGCCTTTGACAAATTACTTAACCGAAGCCCCAATTTTGATAAATATAAAATAGAGTTCATAACATTTATTTCAGAGAGTTGGAAAGTTAAAGGAAGTAACATATAAAGCCATATTTAGTTAGTGTATTTCCCCCCAATAATGAAAATAATGAGTTTGTATTTCTTCTGTTTGATTTTTTTTTTTTTTAAAAAAAGATAGACTTACAGGAAATTGCAAATATAGTAATGTACCCGTCACCCAGCTTTCCTCAATGGTAACATCTTATATAACTGTAGTACAATATCAAAACCAGGAAATTGACATCTATAAAGTATTATTGACTACAGGCCTTACTCAGATTTCACAATTTTTTACATGCACTGGTTTTGTGTGCATGTGTGTTACCCTTTTATAGTGTTATCCCTTTATAATACTACACTTTTATAGATGAACCAACTCCTCTTCCTCTTCCTTATTCTCTGGCAATCACTAATCTGTTCTTCAGGGCTACACTTATGTTATTTCAAAAATGTTGTATAAATGGAATCATATAGTATGTAAGTAACCTTTGGGATCAGTTTTTTTCACCCAGACTAATGTCCTTGAGATCCATTTAAGATGTTAATATATCAATATCAATAGATGTCAATTGTTTGTTCCTTTTTTTTTTAATAAATCTACTTTAATTCTAAAAGAAATTAATCCAGAATGGACAGTAATAAACAATACAGATGTTTATGTTTCTCTTATAAATACTTAATCTAATACAAGTTTCTTTAATTGTATATGTGCTAGATATAATAATTCTATCTTGGATTTTAGAGTCCTAACAGAATTAAAACATTTTCATGCAACTATTACTTTATGCCAATGAAGGGTCTAAACTTGTAATGTCCTTCTGTATTAAGATCAAGTTAATTTCAGTGTTTTCTCAAGAAGAAATTTTTCATAAATTATTAATGACTCGATTCCATTTAAAAAAATGGCTTTGGCAAATGTGAAGATAAAAAATCCTGTTATTTCTTTGTTGATTCATGATATGAGACAAAAAAAGAGATGATGTATTCTTCTACAGAAAAAGTGGTTTAGAGAATAGTTCAAAATGGCATTTTATATACTAAGAGGTCTAATAAGCAACCCCCTTCCTCAAGGGGAAAATGATTTCAATGTGCTCCCCTTCTGCTCAATAACTCCAAGTGATTTTCAAATTAGGAGGCAGATTACTGGCATTAAGTTCATCAAATTTAGATCTATCTTGAACAGGGACATTATAGAAATCAAGAACATCTCTGACCCTGCACATCTGGTGAAGCCTGGAGTTAGGGACTGCATGGCCCAAGTCATCAGCTAAATGTGCTAAGAGATTGAACTTCAGACGACCATCTTCCAGGGAGATATCCTGCCAATTACTAGGCAGAGTTGAACCAAAAACTTCTTTAACATAAGATTCCAAACGACTCTGGAGATCTTCAGGTGCTATGTATGTTCGGCTTCGTAAGGGTGGACACACCAGGATAGGTTCCTTTTTTACCTTTTCTACTGTCTCAGCTACCACTGGCTCTTTCTCCTTTCTGGATCGAGACCAAAATTCTCTGCGTGGCGCCCCTGAGACTATCCACAAGAAGCCTCTTCTGGTAATGCGGGACACAGGCAGCGCCGGCATTTTCGATGGAAGCCACCGGCCTGTGCTCTGTTTGTTCCTTTTTATTGCAGAGTAGTATTACATTGTATGAAGGTCACGTCGGTGTTTTAGATAAGGACTTTCTTTTCCCAAATACTGATTTCTCCTTACATAAAATAGTGATTCCCATTTAGTTGTTAAATTATCTTCCTATCAAATGATAAATCTCTGGATCCATGTAGGAAATATTTACAAGCAATAGGAAAATTTACTGGAGCCAAATGTTCTTAAAATATCGTTTCCTGTTAACCCAATTCAATGTGTATGCATTACTAACCTTAGGGAATAGCATTATTTGTAATGTTAAAGACCAAACTGATCCCTAAGTTTTATTCTCATAGTTAGATAGGCCTAAGCTGACTAAGAGATTAAATACAAAACAGTTTCCAAATATCTCTTTTTATTTATTTATTTATTTATTTATTTTACAAACTCTTGTGTCCAGGGCTGACTTTCAATAGATCGCAGGAGGGAGCTGCTCTACTACGTACGAAACCCCAACCCAGAAGCAGGTCGTCTCAAATATCTCTTAAGATAATTTATGATTGTTTTAATTCTTTGTACCTTTCTTGACTACATGGCTATCCAGAGCTGACATTCAACTGTTAATACTGCACCAAAAAGAGACCAAATCCCTTGTGGTCAGGTCTTCTTTAGGAGTTAATTTTGACCAAAAGCAGACTGGAAGTTAGGGGTCAGGAAATTCTGATGTGGAATATGGTACAATCTTGGTTTAACTAAGTTGTAGCTGGCAACGTAATGTGATGCTAGACATTACACACAGTGAGCCAGCCAGTCATACATAATGTACATTCAACATCTAAACTCTTAAGGCTTTGTAGAGAATCCACAAGTAACTGAAATAGTTTTCTCTGAGCCTGGTGTGGCAATTTTAAAACATAGCCCCCAAATTGTTTATCACTTCTCCTTTTAAGAAGTGGAGTCCATGCCCCTTCCCTTGAATCTAGGCTTTATGGCTGACCAATAGAATACAACTGAGGTGATGCTAGGCTACTTTCCAGGCCAGGTCTTAAGATATTGGCAATTTCCACATCATGTTTCTTGAGACACCACTCTTGGAACTGAATCCCGTACACTAGGGAAGGACTTTCTGGAAATGAACTAAGGCCTGTGGCTTTCAGCACTGGCTGAGCTCCCAGTTGACAGCACCAAATTGTCAGCCATGTGTGAGCTATCTTGGAAGTGAATGCTCCAGCCCCAAGCTGAGCTGTGCTCATTGATGTTGCATGAAGAACAGGAGCAAATCTTTTGCTTCCTCAGAAGACCTCATAGTAGTCATCTTCTGAGATAGACTGAGACATTTGCCTTCAAATCTGGGAGTCCATCCCCACTAGGCCCTCAGTGTCCCTCAGCAAATGTGGAACAACTGTCACTACCACTATGAAAACAAGACTAATAACTGCATGGGACCTTCAGCCAGTACTGTCATGAACAGCTGTCCTTTTTGCATTCTCAGTGCCCCTTATTCACTTCTTGGGTTAATATCTCTCTCCCTTTCCTTTGGGAAACTGTTCTTCCCTGATTCATGTGTTTTAGTGAAGCTAGTTAGACGGCCAAACATGAAACCCTCCTGGTGTTAGTCATGATCCCTTCTTGCTTTTCAACTCCCTACTCTCCCTATTCTCTATCGCCCGTGCCTGAATGACCACAAAGTGAACACAGGGTCCACACTAGGCCTATCAGAAAGGATTTGCTAAAATTTACCAGCTAGTCCCATACTGGTGACCATTACGGTTCTTTATGGTTTGATGGTTTGTTTTGCCATTACCCAATATATATATGTGTGTGTGTATATGTATATGTCTGTGTATATATATGTGGAATTTCTGGGTAAATATGTACATTTAAAATATGATAATATGGTCAAATAGCTCTTCAGAAAGGTTTGCACCAATTTATACTCTCTTTAATTGTGATTAATTACATCTGCTTTCCCCTCATTAACCCTTTGTATTATACCAGACTTGTTAATCTACACCAATATGACAGGTAAGAAATACAATGTTATTTTAATTTATATTCCTTTAATGATATGTATTCATGTTAATGATACATAATTTTTTTCTTGCGACTTGAGGCTGTAGCTCTCAAAACAAGATATGAATTACATCAAAGAAAGTTACTTATATTATTATAATACGGTTGCTTTAATATCAGTCCAATTTTTGTTCTTTTGTAGGTATCCTGTCTTCCATTTACAAGCCTGTAGAATTTTGCTTTATCCTTGAGTTCAGAATTGTTACCAGGATGTATGAAGGTATGTACAGTACATGTATATTTTTCTACTAATCTTGTTCAACAGTTACTGGCCTTTTTGAACAAAGTTCCAAATCTTTCTCGAATTTAGGAAATTTTTTTATAATATCTTTGATTTTTCTTTTTATCCTCTTCACTAACTCCTCCTGAAAATCCTACTAAACTTATACTTTGTTTACTGGATTTAATCCTTAAGTTTTCTCTCATAATTGTCCTTTTTCATTTTGCTCTGTGTCCTTGGAAACTTCTAAAATAGGTTCTTCAAAAACAAATTGGAATTGAACACTTAAAATTTGTGCATTTCAAAATATGTAAGAGTTTTATCTTTAAAAAAAGGACTATAAAAACTATTTGCATGGGGGTTGGAGGTCATGGAGGTTTAAAATAGCAAATCATCAAAGACTGTTGAAGCTAGGTGATGGATACATTGGAGGATCATTATATAATTCTGTTTATGTTTGTACATGTTCAAAATTCTCCATAATGGAATATAAGAACAAAAACAACCCCCCCCCAAAAAAAAACCCAAATTGGTTAACAGCCGCTATTAGTGCTGTTATTCAGTCTGTTTCAGAAACAAAACAAAACAGAGAGAGAAAATTTTGCTGGAAGGATATTTATGGCCTTTCAGAATCAGTGGAAGGCTAGGACACCTGGCTTAGCAAAAACACAAAAATTAAAGTGGCTCAATGCGAGACAGCAGGAGTTACAGCAATTGACTTTTAAACATTTTTCCAAAACACTACTCCACTGCCATGCCAGTAATCTCTGAGCTTCAGGTTTTTCCTGAGCTCTATTTCAAAAATTAATACCACCATCTAGTGGGGCTTTCCTGTACTTATGTCTGATTATAAATTTCTTCACTGTCCAGTTTGTTCACTATCGTCGGAACTGTATGGTCTATAAATTCCTGAGAAGTTTCAATTTGTATTTTTGAGGGGAGAATCAGGTATATTGAGGTATAATTTATATCTGGTAAAATTGTCCCTTTTTGGTATATAGGTCTATGAGTTTTAAAAAATGCTCAGTTGTGTAACCACAATCAAGATATGGAATAGTTCTCCCACTCCAAAAAATTTTCTTGTGCCCATTTGAAGTTAACCGCCCCACCTACCCCTTAGCCTCTGGCAGCCGCTGATCTGTTTTCTCTCTGTATATAACTTTACCTTTTCCAAAATGCCATGTAAATGCGACCTTTGATTGTAGCTTCTTTCAGTCAATGTAATACATGTAGATTTGTCTATGTTGTTGTACCCCCCCTTCACCTTTTTTTTCCAGAGTAGTATTCCATTGAATGTACCAGGGTGTGCTTAGCTACTCGCTAGTTGAAGGACATTTGGATTGTTTCTAGTTGTTGGCAGTTGTAAATAATGTCACTGTAAACATTTGCATACAGGTTTTTGTAAAAACATAACTTTTCATCTATTGGGCAAATACCTAGGAATAGGATTGTTAGGTCCTATGGTATGTGTATATTAAACTTTATCAGAAACTGCCAAAATGTTTTCTAAAGTGGTTGTACTATTTCATACTCCCACTAGCAGCATTTTTCTCTGCTAATGACATCCTACCTAGTTTTCCAATATTGCCATATTTTACTTTTTAATTTTTTTTCTGTCATTTTATAGGATTTCCAAAGGTTGAGAAAATGACACCAAAATATTTTAACCAATATATCACATTTAGTAATGATTTGTATTGCCTAATTTGTGAATTTTATCTCCCCCTTTCTCTATTGGAGTCTTGGTGATTTATTATTATTATTATTATTATGTGTTCCACATGTTTTGAAGATTAACATACTTACCCTTTTGCTGTAAAAATGTCTTCATCTCTTGTTATGTTCTATGTACATGGTTTTAAAAATAAAGACACAACCAGGTGCAATGGCTCACACCTGTCATTCCAGCACTTTGGGAGGCTTAGGCAGGAGAATCAATTGAGGCCAAGACCAACCTGGGCAACATAGTAAAACCTTTTCTCTATTAAAAAAAACTTAAAAATTAGCTGAGTGTGGTGGTGCATGCCTGTAGTCCTAGCTACTTGGGAGGCTGACGTAGGAGAATCACCTGAGCCCAGAAGTTTGAAGTTGCAGTCAGCTATGATCATGCCACTGCATTCCAGCCTAGGCCACAGAGGAAGACCCTATCTCTCAAATAAATAAACAAATAAATAAAAATAAGGGTACAGTTCATATGCTTTACTAAATCATTTGACAACCATCTTTGGGTACCAACAATATGCTGGGCACTGGATTAATATTTTGAAAATCACCAAGATTGTATAGTACTTTACAAAGTGTTTTCTCATATATTATTTGGTTCATTATACATTAAACACACACACACAACTACCCATATCTAAATACTCTTTTGATATGTATGTTGTAGACAATTAAGTGGCAGGGAGAAATATGAGGATGAGTGACAGATGGACAAAAGATGTGTTAAGTTGCTAAGAGATGGAGAAAGAAGTAACAAATGTGTGAGTGGAAGGCAGAGGAGTAGAGAAAGGAAGGGCATTCAATGAATATTAGGTTTGTTCTCCCCTAAAATTCCCTTGGGTATCTTTATAATGTACTTTCATATTTTTTTAGTAGCCTTTTGAAATGCTGACTAACTGGTTGCCTACCTCCTCCAACCAATTGTTTCCAGGGAAGGAATTTTCCTTTAAGTAACTAGGCAAAAAAATCTTACATAAAATGGGAGTAAGTTTGGAAAGGCACTTTGTGAAATTTCTCCATTGAGGAAAAGCATCCAGTTTTATAGTAAAGTTGGGTCATGTTGCTCTTTGCTAGCCAGCTCAAATTCATGGCATTTTGATTGAATTAAGGCTCTCTGAAGATAGAGCTCATTTCTAGGAAGATGTTGAAATTTAAAAACATCAAGTTATAGGTT